AAATTTTTCACCGGGTCTGATGTACATGGCAATTTTGGTGAGTTTTCGAGTATGTTTAGGGCCTCAAAAACGCGTGTCTTTGGCACGAATAATAATAATAATTCGAGCAGTTCCAATAGGGTCTTCACACCCTTTTGGGTGCTCGGACCCTAATTAGGAACGAATGATTAATTTCAATGTTGATTATTTTCTTGACTAGTTTGGTGTATAAAAATGTGAAAAAAATACCAATCAGTGTTGCTCAAAGGCCTTAAATGTCTTATTTTGTCCTCAACTCAAAGGTTTACTGTCATAGAGGAGGACAGAAAACAGAAATAATTCAAATTTAAGAGGCCTTTTGTTATCAAAAAAAGAAAAGAAATACCTGAAGCAGTTGTTCAGCTATCAAAATAGTTGTCACATAAATTAATAGTTACAAACTTGATTGAAATTGATTAACCGTTGCAGCTCCAGTAAACATGCCATCAGAACAATGGAAAGGACTGCATCTCTGAAAAGGGTTTTACAATGAAAGTTAGCAAGTATATTTGTTTCACTCATGCAATTGGTTCCAGTCACCACGATTGTCATACGCAGTCTAAAGGCAACGCACCTCTGGCACCTGTCAGTCACCCAGTATAATGGAGACAGATTTTATTAAGCAATCTTAAGCAAGTGAAGGGTTGTGGCATCAAGTTGTGATGGAAAATATCTCTCTGTAACTATTGACTGAGAGATGGTGAGAAAAAAAGCAGTAATTTCCATATCCTCCATCTCACTTGTTAAATGTGAACAAATTGTGCGTGGGAGTTTGCTTCACAACTTGATCCTGGTAAAGATCCCTTGGATTTGAAACAATCAATGTAGCGAAAACAAACACTTCTTGGGAGCATTACAGCAGCGTGTGATCTCTGTTCTTTATTCATGATCTTTTCTTTTCAGCACCATGTCTGCTCTCAGAAGCTGAACGTGCATGTTTTGTTTTTTTTTGTTTCTCCAATCTTCTGTCACATATCACTGCAAATCCCACAAACACATACTCCTAAAACTTACCTGCCACCACTTAAAAGTCTCATCGGAGAGGATGCTGTTCTCCCTGGTCATCAGAGGGTGGATGGACTGATTGAAGCGCTCGGCGAACCACGAGTCGTCCTCCAGCTCTGCTACGCACTGTCGACAGGCGCAGAGCCCTTTGGAGAAGAAGTTGTCTGACAGGCGAAATGCGTACTTGAAGAAGTAGAGCGAGGGGTCCCGGAAAGTGTAACTGAACAGGAACGTTGTAAATGTAATGACACAAAACAGGAGAGCAAAAGTCCTGATTTTCCTCCGCTTGGGTAGAGACATGTTGTCACAGTCAAAATCAGTTGGTGGGAAACTCGGGGAGTGCAGCGGACAAAAATAGCATCATGATAAATCTAGAGTCCCAAAGGTGTGGGAAAAAAGCAGCCCTGCTGACCACATGGTGCACGTGGCTCAGATATAACACTGCTGTCAAATGAACATATCCTTCTGTTCTTAGTTTTCAGACGCCTCAGGATGTGGTTCATAAACGTCCTTAATGGAACCCATCAAAGTGGCTTCTTTGCAAATCCGCGGTGTGGTTCTGTCAGCTTGATGGCTCCTGGTTAATCAGATGTAGTCAGTTTTGCTGAGCGCTCGCATGTTGACTGTGAGGTCAGCGACTGATGTGTCATCCATTCTTTAATGATCCACCTGGAAGGCAAATAAAAGGACACTTTTGTGACAAACACACTGGGAGAAAGCGGGGGAAACAGCCTGTGAAGCTCTAATGCTTGTAAATTCTGCAATGCTCATTGTTCTTGTAATTTCACAGCACTAATAGTTCCAAGATGAGTTTGTAACAGTGCAATTTCTTTGTAGGCCCGTGAAAAGTGTTTCATGTCCATTGTTTGGTTTATTGCTCTGTTTTTTTTTTCTTTCTTTCAAGACTGCCAAATTACACAGGATGCATCACAGTCTCTTGGCTCTTAAAAAGACCATCAAACACCAGAAATGTCTATGCTGGAAGTTATTGCAGCCCTCCTGGAACAAAACAGGCAACAACCTTAATCACCCTTTCACTCCTCTGTTAAGAATATGTCAATAGCTGGAAGCAGCTTTTGTTAACTGAGAAAAAATGAAAGTCAAAATGAGGAATGATTACTCACAGGGATAATACCTGAATGACTCACGGATCCACAGTCATGTGCATGAATTCAAACACAGGAGGCGCACATAAGAGAAGCAATTTCTGTCACAGTCCTGCCCAGTATACCACTTTGAATGCATCCAATTAAGATGTCCAAGCTGTGATTTCCCAAGTTTGTTTGACATGGGGTTATTTAAGTTAAAGCAGTGATTATAGACCCTACGACACTAGTGAAGTATGTAGAAAGAAGCTGAGCAAATGTGAAAAACCAAACATTACAGTCACAATAAAATATATAAGCATCCATATATTAAGTGTGACACCTGATCGCTTCCACTGCGTTGTGACCCAGAGTGTGTGTGAAAACTAGTGGGTCAGTAGATAGGGACGTAAAAGAATAAATATTTATCTTCACATTTATCTATCTTTGGATGAGGCAGGCACATTTTGTACACTGGGTAATTCAAAGTGCTTACAACACAATAAAAACATAGCAAAGGACACAGATTTAAGCTTTTAAATACACTAAATCATTACAATTCAAAACTCACAATTATAAATAGCATGTATGACATGTAGTATGTCGTATGTCACTTACATGTCTGAGATGTGTAGGCACAGAGGGATTTATACACAACTAGTTGGATTTTGAAATCAGTTCTTTGAGAGACAGACAGACAGTGTAAGTATTTTAATGCTGGAGTAATGTGGTCATACAGTCAAACCCAAAATTATTCATACCCACTGGACACCACTGGACATTTTAGCACGACAATGAACTAAAACACACAGCAATAGTGGTGAAGAAACATGAATGTTTTGGAGTGGCTCAGCCAGAGTCCTGACTGGAATCCAGTTGAAGATCAGGGTGATGGCAAGGAGACCCATCGCTCATCGCAAAAGATGAACGGGCAAAAATACCCGTGGAGACATGCAAAAAGCTGGTCAGCAATTATAGGAGGGGTTTGATTGCTGCAATAGCCAATAAAGGCTTCCCTATTGATTGTTGAAGAAGGGTATGAATATTTTTGGACATACCACTTTTGGTTCCAATGTAAATAAAAGCTGAGAAATATTTTTGTCCACAATAATGCCTTTTGTAAATTCTCTTATTATCTTTTGGGAGAAGCCTGTGTCATTTCCAATCAAAAAAAAAAAAAGTCTTAATGCCCTCAAAGCTATTCCACAAGACAAACTCACATTGTGCTGCAATTTCACTGCTTCTAAGGAGGCCGTGGCTCAGGCGGTAGAGCGGGTTGTCGTCTAATCGCAAGGTTGGTGGTTTGATCCCCCACCCCAGATAGATAGACTGAACCCCAAGTTACTCCCAATGGAGTCCCACCTTGCATAGCAGCTCTGTCGCCATTGCTGTATGAATGTGCATCTACTTTCAGATGTACGTCGCTTTGGATAAAAGCGTCTGCTAAATAAAATCGTAAATTGTAATTCTCTGGCACTTCTGGTTAGATGCTAAACTGAATATGTAGCTAAACACAATGCATGCACGGAGATCAATCATTTAGCAAGTCACGGATAAATGGTGGAAATACAAAGCAACGGATACAGTAGATGGTTGAAGAGGAAGAACGATTCAGTTGCAAATTCTAACACACACGTATGCATGCAAATGTATGTAAAGTTATCCCATTAATAGTACTAAACCTAAGATAAATGGTTAAAATACAGAGTTAGGGATTCAGCTGCAATGCATAGCTAGAGAAAGGTTGAAAATATCTACAAGTAATTGATAAATGTTATCTGAAAGTCATGTATACAGTTCATGACTGAAAAAAAAAAGCCAATGAACTCTAAGGTACAAATGCAAACTGTTATAAAATTAACAGTGTTGAATAAGAACCTATTGGAAACATTTACGTAGGAGACGATGACAGGTGGTGTCAGTGAAGGTGTTCTTCTCCGTGACTGTGTGACAGGGTTGGAAACCACTGAGATAAACTATAGAATCTATAGTTAGTCAGAAACACGCTGGTGACAAATTTCCCAGAATAACATTGAATAAGACAATGTTTTTTTTTTTTTGTTTTTTTTTTCCCAGACCTTGGCTTTTCACGACTGACAAAGCAGGCAGACCTCCTGGGGTTTCATTTTCAACATGAAAAGGCCACCTCTGCCTTTATACGGGGCCCCGGTTCCATTCTGATGTGCAGCTGTGTTTAGGATTCCGCAAATACTTCTACATTTAGGCAACAGCAGATCCACATTGGAGATAAAACGCTATCACCGCAGCGCAGGGTGAGGAATATATCAGAAAAATGAACCCCAGAAAACATGTCACCTGCCCTTTGCTCTGAACAATTTCTGAGTGAGCCCTCTGTACAGAAGATTTGTGGGAAACTCCATTACGACGAGAGAAAGGCTGCGGGTCTTTCCTGATTAGAAATTGATCAGGTCATTCAAATTCCACCCTGGAGGGAAGCAAAGAGGATTGGGTTTAAGACCGGCTACACGGTGACACAGCTTGCCTGTTGATTTCATTCTTGCTATCGGAGCAAAAAAACAAACTGTACAGCCGTTTATCAGCTGCACTGACACAGTCCAATGCGCAGGAAGGCTTATAAGTGATCCCGTCTGCTGTTTGGGGCTCTGTAACTCACAACGGATCGCGGATTTGCATACAGCCCAAGGTTGGTTATTGTCTAAGGCAGCAAGTTTGACAAGGATACCTGGGGACACTTATAATGGACACATCAATGAATGGGCCTACTTCTATAAAACAGGCTGTTGACTCCACTCAGCTTGAAGCCCTCTGGCATTAGGGGGGCCAGGTAGATGGGAGTGCAGGCAGAATACATTCTCAAACAGGTGGTGACTCCACGCTTTTGACAACACACCGACTATCATCTAGTTTCACTGACCTTGTCCGACTGAAGCCTGGCAACCCTGCGCTGATCAAAGATTGCCAAGCTGAGACAGCAAAGCGTCTGTTCACTCTTCAGAGGATAGAGGAAAGGGGGGAGGGTTGGAAGAGAGAGAGAGTGAGAGAGAGAAGGAGGGAGGGGGTGGCAAGCAGCAGGGGAAAAAAAGTGCGCAAGCTGTGATTTTCACTCTAATCTTCAGTTTTGAGAAGTCATCAACTTTGCAGGGTACAGTAAAGTGTTTTCAGTTTGTGTTCCGTGAAAATTGTTTTTCTCCTCTCAGCTTACCTCTGCTACTTGTGAGCAATTTAAGACATCAAAATTCTGCAGTTTTGAACACTCCTATGTATTATATGCTTGAAAGCGGTATCTATGCCGAGCTGAGAGAGCGCGCTTGGTGGGGACGAACCTCTCCGTGGGAGTTTCCTCTCAGTGGTAACGAGACGGCAACATGTCAGCATCCCATCAGGATCGTTTCTACACAGACGTCCCAGCAGCAGTCTCTCTCTGGGTCGGGCCTGTTTCCACAACACATCAAAAGGTGGCGCAGGTCTGAATGGGATGTTGTCATTTTAATGGTAAAAGTTGCAGCAGCACAACAAAAATGCATAAAAATCAAGTCCTTGATTCTACATCTTCCCAGGTTGGATCAGTCCATCACAATAAACACATTCTTTTAGAAGCAATCCCATAATCTGAAAAAGTGTCTGCCTTGCTATTTTTTCCTTCCTGCACCTCCATGGAAACAACACAACCATGATTAGAAGTAGAGAGAACTCAGAAATGTAATCTGCAGCACCTGAGAACACCTTTAAAAACATTGATTCCACTGTATTACCAATACTGGGAAAAAAAACGTGGCCTTGCACACAGCAGATATTTTATTGTTTACATTTGTCTAACGCAGGGGTGTCCAATCCTGGTCCTGGAGGGCCACAGTCCTTCACGTTTTAGATGTCTCCCTCTTCCAACACACCTGATTCAAATGATCAGCTCATCATCAAACTCTGCAGAAGCCTGATAATGATCTTGATCATGTCATCATGTAAAACTCCTTACATTCAACATGTGCATAAATGAGAGACCTGGTTCTAAGTATTTCTGGTTGTGTGCACTGTGGTGCGTTATTAAAAAAGAAGCAACTTCTCGATTTAATAAACAACGAAACTGATGAGAAAAAGGTCCTTCATGCTCACTGATTAAGACTTTAACAGCAAAATAAGATTTAAAATCACCGATGCAGCCAGAAGGAAGAAAACACTCTTATTTATTAATGCAGTAGTTTTCAACTCAATACTTTTCAACACTTCAGCTAATACAGTGAGACAATTATGGTTCAGTAAAGGTTCAAAAGTGGACGTGTGTTGTGGCTGGTGGAGGAATGTTGTCTCCAAGAAATCCAATCTGAATAACAGATCTATGATTTTTAAGCTGCACAGCAGGTAATAATAATAATAGTACTGCGATAAAGTTATCATGCTGCTATTAGTTTATTTCCATCTTTTATCTTACCGTATCTTTCTGGCACTGGCACACATACGGCGTTCACGCTACAAACGCAGCACCTTGCCAGATGACAGCTGAGAAAGGTTACAACTTTCTGCTGACTGATGCAGCGTTGTGCGTCAGTCGGTGTTAGTGTCCCCACTGTGTAACCACAGTGGCCTCTTTCAATTGAATGATGGGGC